GTTCAGAGACCTTTCGTAGGTGACAGCCTACTTCATTAGATACCATGAATCTATTGGACAAATAGCATTCAAGTATCCTGCCTCTATAATAATGGACACAAGATCCTATTGTTGGCATCTGGACGTGAACAATGACTACCAATATTTTTCCCATGTAGGAATTAATTCTCTGTGGATAATCAGGTATTGACTAGGGATTGTGGGGCTGAGTGGAACTCACTGCAGAGATTTGTGGAAGCTTAAGAGATGATTATGCCTTATAAATATATTCCTGCAGTTAAAATATTTCCATCCTTATTAAAGGATGGGGAAAATAATGTTTTAGGCTAAAAAACAACATCAGCACAATGGCTACAAACTGATCCAAAACAAATTAAGGCAGGAAACTAGGAAACAATTTCTAAGTATCAGAGTAGAAGTGTTTTATAATAGTCTTAAGTGCCAAATTATCGGGACAAAAATTGGGAATAACACCAAGATTGAATTGGCTAAATCTATGGAAGAGGAAGTACGATAGGACAGAGAGTTACTGATTCTACTGTGCATGTGATACATGGAAGAAGTATTCCCAGTCCCTTTTTTGGGTTATCACAGTATCAAACATAGAGACTGTGCTGTAAATATGCAGCGTGGGAAACATTTTTTAGTTTGTGGTATGCCTTCTGCAACATCTCAAACTGCTTTGAGATGCCACAACAGACACATGCTAGCTTGTGTGGATGTGGCCAAAGGCTCTTGGCTGGAAGGCTCTGTTCTTCCAGCCAGGATCATAATGATCACCACATTTGGAATCAGGAAGGAATTTTTTCCCTAGGTCAGATTGGCAAGGGTGGGAGGAGCAGCGGGGAAGTGGGGAATGGATTACCTTTCTTTGTAGTGTGGGGCCTGGTTCTTTTCCTAGGATCCTCCAAGTATATATTAATCAGCTACTTCCCTGTCATCTCCCTTGCTTTTACTTCTGAAGATGGAGGAAATCTTGGCATTTCCAGCTCTTTTTGGTTGTGGTGCATGAAGGGTGAAGTGACTATTTTGGGGAGTTCTTGGGTGAACCCAGGGGCCTGGCCTCTGCTCTCCCT